TTTTTTCACCCGGCTGGTGCATGATCACCTGTCTTAGCTTTTAAGAGTTTGAGTGCTAATTTCCAGCCACCCAAGACCCCTAAACAGGGAAAGAATGGATCTGTGACCCATTTGTGACTAAGCCAGGTGAATTGGCTTTGTCTGTATTAGAAGATGTTCAACTGTTTCAGACAGAGGCTTTAAAAGTATGTTTGAGACAACTTCAAATCTCCATGTGCTCTGGATTAACATCAAGGCAGAATATTCTGAGATTACCACAAAAGCACTGAAAAGCCTGCTTTTATTTCCAACATCTTATATTTGCAAAGCAGCCAAAAACAAGATCATAGAGTAGCCTGGACATAAGCAACACATTTGGCTGTTACTCTCACCCCAAACCTGCATATGAGACCCTCTGGTTGCAGGAAAGTAAGCTCAGGGCTCCCACTGATTCTGCGTTATGATGAGTTGTATAGTTGTTTCATTAAGTGTTACAATGCAGTAATAACAGAAATAAATGCACAATAAAGGTAATGGCCCTGAGTCATTCTAACACCGTCCTCACTCTCCATCTACAGAAATATTGTCTTCCATGAAACCGGTCCCTGGTGCCAAAAATTTATGGAGCCTATTTCTTCATCAACTGCAATTTTCTCAGAGCACCTTGGAATATACCCTGACCAAACTGAAAGCTTTTCAGGGTTTTCTACACTTCCACTGTTTCCCTTTGATTCTCATAGACAACTTGGGGGAAAGCTGCCCATAATGCCCATGGCACGTTCTGAATCCTGTGATGTCTGGAAATGTCCTCCACTGATAAACTGGTCCACTGTCTTTAAATTGTGCTTCCTCAAAGTCTCAGGGCCTGGACAGAGTACATTCAGACTTTTTTTTTTGCCAGAGTGTAATATGGGTGGCCTTTAGTTATAATCTTTTTTTTTTTTTTTGTACTGGGAATCAAACTTAGGATCCTACGCTTGCCAGGCAGGTGCTTGTGGCATGGAGCTACATTACTGGCCTTTAGTTATATTCTTAACAAAGTCCTTCTTCATATCTGAAATCTCATGAGCAGAACCATTGCTGTCCGCCTTTTTATCAGGAATTTGGTCTTCTGAGTTCCCACTAGAGCACCAGTTAGTGTTTGTTTACAGCATTCTCGGCCTTCCCTAGCCTGCTCCAGACTACTGCAGACTTCTGCAAACCAGTGTCAAGGGCTTCCCCATGTCATCTCACATACAGCCACAACTACAATCCCACTTCTCACTAAAAATTTTCTGTTACTCATCTTTGAACTATTGTAACAAAAATCCTGAGACTATTGGGTTAGAAAAAAAGGAAATTTACTTTGGCTCACAATTTTGGAAGTATCAGTTCATGGTCAGTTGAACCACTGCTTCTGAGGTAAGAGTAAGGCAGGACTTTCTCATAGGAGCCCATGGTCAAGGAATCTGCTCACATTAGAGTAGCAATAGGGAGAGGAAGAGGAGGGTCTAGAGTGACAGCATCCCCTATAGAAACAGCCTCCCTGTGACCTAACCTCCTTCCACTGGGAGCTACCGCTTCAGGGCTTCACAGCTTCCCAGCAGCTCCACACTGAGGACGAGGCTATTAGCATATGGGACTTTAGGGCTCATTCCACTTTCAAAATATAACACTACCTCAGAGCCAAACAGGGGTCTGATCAGAGAACCTGTTCACTATTATGCTAATCCTATCTATCCCTCATAAAACAACAAGGAAACAAAGTCCAGTGTTCATATCTAGGTAATCAGGATAGAGGCCAACTGCTTTTTAGACTATACTTTCTTTATAAGACTTAATATTGACATTGAATTAATCCATTTTATAGGAAGATAATTTTTCTATTTTGTTATAATTGTTACCTAATGTGTTATCACTTTATATATATTGTCTCAGTTATTAACTGTACATTGCCTTGTGGAAGTATTGTGTATATTTATATATGTGTGTGAGGAGAGAAGTGTTATGGGGTTTTTTTCCAATTTTAAAACAGGATCTCACTACTCTGTTCAGTTGTTCAGGCTGGACTTAAAATTAGGAAGATGTTTCTATGGTCTGAATCAATTCAAAACAGTTACCTTTTGTGATTCTTTTGACTTTGGGGAAGAGCCAGAAATTGCACAGGGGCAGGTCTGGTGAATGAGGTGGATGAGAACGCATCACAATGTTTTAAATTGACTGAAATTTCTATAAACATTTTTCATTGATTCAGCACATCTAGGCAACCACAAAAGCCAATTAAAGACACTCACGAAAGAGGATTTTCAGAACTGATTCAGAACGTGGCAAGGTTGATGGGATAAGTGTCTTTGAAGGGAGAGGAATATTTTCAGGATTATTAATGGCAATGTATCTTTTACTGAAATTTTTTTTGAAAATTCACCATAGGTTTTTTTCATCACACCTCATATCTAAACAGAGTATTTTATGTAGAGAATGAGCTACAGATTTAATCCTGTTCATTAGGAAACTGGGAGAAAAGGCAAGTGAGGTAATCTAAGAATTAGCACGTGAAGCAGAATATGCCCTGGAGCTGTAGGAATAAAATGTTATAGGAATGAAAGATGAAGTAGATATTGTGTGTAAAGGCCAGGAGCAAGCATGGAATCTGCAGAAAATAGCTCTAGTATTCGGACAAAACAAAAAAATTTCACAACAACCAGTGAGTATTCAGATAGACAAAACCAAAAAGGTTTTGACTTTGTGCAGTAAAGCAAGTCCTGAGACCTGTTGTGCTGCCCTTGGGCTGGGCTGGTGTGGTTGGATTACACTTGTTCAATTGAACACCAATGTGAGTGTAACTGATATGGTATTTTGCAGATGTGATCAATGTCCATAATCACATACTCAGTTGATCTGAAGTCAGGGAGATTAGCCTAACTAATCCAGGTGGGCCTGATTCAATGAGTTGAAAGGTCTTGCAAACAAAGTGAAAGCTTCATTGAAGATGAAAAGGATGGCAGCATCAGTTCATGTTCTGAGAGTTCCGGGCTACCCTTCCCAGTGGCCCCATGCTGGGAATTCTGGACTTTTTGAGTGAATTCCTACAGCCAATCTGATTTTTGCAGTAAATCATTTATAAACTTGATTCTTCTTTGCTGTGCAGTCCCTAAAAGACACATGTTCTACAGGAGAAAACAGAGGAAAGGTTGTATAGCAAGTGGTAACTTAGTGGAAGGGAGGGAATGCAGTGGGAAAAGGGAGTAGATTGGAGGCAACCATAATAACGTGGAACTTTGACAAGTGAAATCACTTTTAACATAACCATAGCACTTCCATCTTTTTATTCAGATAATAACAATTCTTGAGTATGACTTACTCTATAGTCTCCTGGGTCTTTCTATCAAGTAAAAGTACTAGGTGAGTAAAAACACTTAACGAAGTCAGTGAAAAAGTGAGCCAGTGATGTAGATTGTTACATTAATAGCCAGCACTGAATTCTACAGAATATTAACATTCTCACACTCTCCATTTCCACACTGACACTGGGCTTGACTACATGATCTGCTTGTTCCAGCAGGACAACTGAGCATAGTAAATACTTGGTGAGCACATATTTGTGCCTTGCCTGTGGGCATCACACACTGAGCTGTGGCAATGGTCACTCACCATGCCTGGCTCCTTCAAGGTGAACCCTAACAAGAAGAGAGAGGCCCTGATTTGCAGCTCTTTCTTCTGTCCCCAGACCCCATCCACCCCACCAGCTGAATCCAGTCTCAAGAGTGAATCCACAAAAGAAAAACCATCCAGCCAACCCACTGAATTAGGAGCAAAGAAAAGGCCAGGGTTTGGGATAATTTACTAAATTTTTGGTGGTTAACGTTAGGGAATTGGTTGTTGGGTATTCTTTAATAGCACTGTCTCTGGAGAATTATTGTATTGGGGAATATGACAAATAAAATGTCCTTATGTCATGTTTTATCCACATTTATCTTAAAATATTTTATATTCTAGACTGTTCAGTTATTTGGGGGTTTCTAATGTTTATAATATAAACTCCTTCTTTGCTATAAAGTCTCATATGAAAAAGAATGCAAATAAACTAATAGTATGAGACAATTGCCCCCCCAAAATGCTACAGTAATCACTGTGAACTGAGAAAATAGGAAGGTGCAGATATGATACCAATAACATTAACAAGCACACAATTTTACATAACTTCAGAGAACAATACTATGAAAGAATAAAACATCCTGCTCCACAGCTAGTCTATAAAGTTGCTCTGTACCTTTGAGTCACAGCCACTCAGGGGACAAAGGTCCTAGGTTATAACTAATTCCCTCTGAAGATGCAGGCCTTAAGTTATAACTCATTCCTTCTGCCCAAAATTCAGAGTTGGAAAACTCCCAAGGGAACACTTTTGATGTGGCTTCCATTGTTCGGACTACATCCTGGATTACATCCTTTGCATTTCTCTTTTCTTTGCGCGTGGTTCACCTGAGAGTTAAATTGAGCTATGTAGGACCCAGTTTCCCCATGTTCCTTTCTGTGCTGCATTTACCAGCACACACTCTCCAAACTGTACTTTCTCTTTAGACCTCTAATGCCCTTTGCCTCTTCTATCATATTAATAGCCATACTCATTCTACTAGCCAGATAGCCTAATGGATGTACAGCCCAATTATTGGCCACTCTATCGTGTTAGTCAAACCATTTTGACTTCCAGGAATGAAAATGGACTGAATTCATCAGCTCTCCTTCCCAGCCTCATTCTCATGTAGGTTACAGTGAGGAGAACCTTTTAAAGGGAAGTTTCCATGATGTTTTTTTCCTTTTACTTGTTTTAAATCCTATCTTGTTTTAGTTCACATCTATATCCTATAAAAATAGATCCTTAATGTACTGTGGGGTAGAAATGCAGTAAGGTGATTGAGTTAATGGGCTCTAAGTGCAGTAACACAAGGACTTAGCAAAGGCGACCCTGAGTATCTTAGTCACTTTCTGGTCACTGAGACATAACCCCCAATAACCTAATGGAAGAAAAATTTATTTTGGCTTACAAGTTCAGAAACTGTAGCCTATGGTGGGCAGCTCTGAGGCAAAAACAGTTGCATGGTAGATGGGCCTGAGTAGAGGAAAGCTGTTCCTGTCATGGCGGCCAGGAAGCAGAGAGAGAAGGGTGGAGCTGAGGAGGGAGATCTACTTCCGGGTCACATCCACAGCAACCTGCCCCTTTCGGCCAGATCCCGTCTCCTAACAGCAAGTTGGGTACCGGAGTCCTCTGTTCGCCTTCCAAACACCTGGGCTACTAGGAGCCATTTCAGATCTAAACCATAACAATAGTGTGTTATTTAACCTCTGTAATTTTTAGTTTGCTGATATGAAACCAAATCATGAGCTTATTTTGGTAAATAAAGGAATGTAGTTGTTTTACCGCTCTTGGCTGAGGTTGTGGCATACAGTGGGAGGTAAATAGCCATAACGGCCGAGGCTGTTATTTTCATGTGTTTGCTTGAGAGAATGTCAACACTAACAAGAAATGCCTCCAATGCCAGCCAGCTGAGTCAGCTAGCAGAGGATAAGTCTTTACCATAACTTATTTGCTGGCCAACAAAACGCTAAAGATCTCAAATAGAACATTGTCACTTTTCCATGTCCCTTATGGAAAGTTCCTGTGGAGTGGATCTGATGCACACCACCTACATGAGGCTGAGGCTGAGTCATTCATCGAAGGTTGTCAGAAGCCACCTGTGCCTGTTCCAGCAGCAGCAGGCTCGCTGTTCCCATTGGCTCTCCCACTGTGCTGTCACATGCATGTGTTCCATTGCTGTCTTCATGCCCTGGCTTTTATATACAGAACCTCCTCCTCCAAGGGACTTCTGAAATGTCTTGACAAAACTGGGCACAGTGAAAGTTACAAGCCTAGCACGTGTGCTGAAAGTTGCTATAATGTACTTTCTCAGTAACTGCCGCCACGGAGCACAGGTTAGGTGCTGGGTTATGCTGCCTGGAAAGGTATTTGTGGACAACACCTCTTCTAAGATAGAGGTTCTTTCTCGAGAAAAAGGCTGATGTAGTGAAAGCGAAACGTTCAGTTTGGCATCAGGAGAACTGGGGGGCTTCCCAGCTCATTTTGCCCATGATTGTGTGCCAGTGGTTTACCATTCTAGGTATCGATTTTCTTGTGGGGAAATTGGAGACACTCACACCTACCCCAGAAGGTTCTATGAGGTAATGTATGTGATAAAATGTCCCACTGTAAATATTAAATAAGTATATGAATCATATTTGTGTAAGAAACATTTAAATGCCAATTCCTGGGCCTTCCTCCAGAGATTTGAATTTGGACTGAGACCTACAAATCTAATATTGACCGTTTGTTTTATAAATACTCATGCAGGTTATTTATAGGCCATACTTTCCAGAAAGGCTGGGATTTTTGTATATTATGAGTTAAGTTGTATCACTAATGGCCATAAAAGCAGTAAGGGTCCAAATTCTTTTCTCTAGTGTTTGAAAATATCAGGTATGAAAATCCTTGAAAAATGTATACATGAATAATGCCACTTTGTTCCCTACACTTTTGGCATAATTATTCTTATCTAGAGTCATGGAAGAAAGGAGAACATTAAAGTGCCAACAATTACAGAGAGAATCGATTGCCTTGTGTAACCATCACAAAATGTACTAAACATACATGTAGATACTTCAAAGGCTTGAATGTGAATAAAAAAACTAAGAAAATGGACATCATCTTACAGTGACACATGCATATTTAGATTTCATAGCAGTTAAATTTTTTAAGCAGTTTGTATATCCATGAACAAATGAATAAAGAAAATAACCATCCAGTCATCCAGAAGGATAAAGTTGAATAATTTGTAGGAAAATGGATGGCTCTTGAGACCATAAGGCTAAATGGAATAAAATAGACCTAGAAATTTAAATATAGGATGGTTTCCCTTGTACGAGCAGCCTTAAAATGTATTTAAAGAATAGAATAAAAAAGAGAGATGATAGGAAACAAGGAAATAGATATTATGGAGAGGAAAAGGGTTATTTTGGGATAGGGGAAAGGAAAGGTTGGAAGGAAAATTGAAGTTAAAATTAAGATGAGATTTGCATAGGTACCAGTTCCCCTACATGAATATAATTACTGTGCATATTGCAAACTAATATATCAAGAAGCAATACAAGGTATCTTTGTTTTGACTTGAGCAGCTGGACAATACTGCTGCCCTGTGGCTTCCCCATACCCACACAGCTGTGCCCTTAAAACTGGCTTCCCCTGTCTCTTAGTCAATACCAAGGGCCTAGGCTAAAGTAATATGTGGGGGAAAATCAATATCTAAAGGGATGACACAATATTCCCATTCCCCCCAAATCAGGCTTAGAGCCTCTGTTGTGTTTAGGCAGTATGTATTTCAGAAACAGTTGTGATTCATTTCCAGGCACCAACCCAACAAACACAGAGGACCTCTACCATCCCCTTAACAGGAAAGCCAGTTCCAGGGTCAGACCATCTCTGCATTATCATTAGAGATGTGCATAAAGGACTTCTTTTCCTGGCCAAAATGAGTTCTTCCATTGACCCACCACTGCTGATTCCACATATGCCCCGTTAAAAGACGCTTCTGGAAGTCACTAAGTACTTTTAATGAGTTAAATTACAAGGATTTTTTTTTTTTTTTTTTTGTACCAGACATTGAACTCAGGACCTCGTACTTCACCAGTCAGACTTTGCGCTGCTGAGCTATACCCCTTCCTAAGGAGTTAAACACGTTTTATTGCACTGTAGGAGGAGTAAGTAAAACAGGAATTTACTAGGTTCTCATTCTTTTAGGAAGAACTTTCTGGCTTACAACAAGTTGAAAATTTTAAACAAAAATAAAGAAATAAGATCTGTGCGTAAGCACTATGGTGTAAACTGTCAAGGGAATAAATTTTAGCAAACTAAGATCACAAAGATGAAACAAACAGAAATGTGAAGCAGACAGGCCGAATTTCTCCCTCAAACATTTCCTGACTGGAGAGTACTGTCGTAGCTGAGAGGCTAAGGAAGTCAGCAGAACTTTTAGCAGTTTCACAGGTAAAGAGAACAGAAGCGGGAGATCAACATCCATCAAGAGTGGTGGGTCCCAAACTGAGACACGAAAACGTTACACCCCAGGAAGGAGAATGACCCTTAAATATACCAGTCTTCCTGGAGCATGCCTTCACCTGGGCATCTGTCTGAAGCTAATCTATAACCCAACTAGCACAAGATACCATTATCCTGAACTTCCAATTAACTGCAGAAATGCTTACCTAATGTTTCCAACTAGTGGTACTGAATTAATTGGATACTTTTACAGAAAAACAAAGGCTTGATATTCACTTCACATGTTACAGACTAAAACAGAGTCCAGGTATTTAATAAAACTGAAAGTGAAAGGCAAAACAATAAAGCTTACAAAAAAACAAAAGGAACTGAAAGAGCTCAGAGACTCTGACTATGGACCCAAAAGTAATAATACCTGAGAAGATTTAACTGACCTTGCTACATTTTAAAGACAAATTATAATTGACAAAGGTCTCACTTTAACTTGGTCTTAAGCACCCCAAAACAAAAGGACATAGCCAGATAAATAATGATGACACAGGTAAACATAAAAAGAGGTGACAGTCACTGCCCCTACTGACGGATTCTAGCTACACCCATGGACAGGTCTAAGCTCCAGCTTCCAACCCCTTAAAAACAGAATCTGACCTGACTCCTTCCCCAGTCAGCCTTTCCATTCTATTACTCACGTTTCTGTCATATATGCTTTCATCTCTTGGTAGAGTGTGTTTACTCTTGCCTAGTGTCTGCAAGCTCCAAGTGGTCATGCAGACAGAGCCCACAGTAGAGGCGCCAGACCCCTGCCCAGGCCCAGCAGGTCCATCTATTCCCCCAGAGCTACCCCACTCCACTTGAAGAAGCCAGATCTGCCATCATCATTTTCCCCAACAGCATTTAGATGGATGTCTCAGGGGGGGAATGTAGGGACAGAGGTCTGTAGATGGAAAAAAAAAGAAAAGAAAACAAAACAAAACAGGGTCCTCCTTAGGTCTTCTACCTAATCCTGACTAGGAGTAAAAAACTTTTACTGGAAAAATTCCCCTGGAAAGCAAGTCAAAGACAGGGGTAGAAAACAACAACAACAACAGCAGATAAAGAAATGCACCAGAGGGCTTTGGGACTTGCACACCAAGAGATGACACATAGGACACAGACCAAAAGCCAGGAGCACAGACGATAAGCTGCTCTCACCTCCAATAAAATATACAGGAAGCAAGGTGGGGGCTGGCTGACTTTAAGGCAGAATGTACTCAGCTACATACATGTGTTCTCATGCTACAGTCACTACATTATTCAATTTAGTGTCACTATAGAGTACAGTAACACCCACGTGCCTTCTTACTAACTCTAAGCTAACCATGAACAAGGCACCCCCTTGCCAACTAGCTGCCCGCCCCAGAGATAAGGCCTTAAAGGATACGTCAAGGACAAGTAAACAAGCAAGCAGAAAGAAGCTGCACGTAGACCACCAGAAGAAATAACATTAGACAGAGGTGCCCAAAAGCCAATCCAGTTATGGCAAGTTCAAGATGAGGGGAAAGAGTCACTCGTTCCCCAGCAAAAACAGCTGAGAGCAAAGGGCCCAGGGTCCTCTATCTTTCCAGAGCCCCCTGCCCTGATTCATTCTTCTCAGGGTAGCTGTCTACTTTCTCCTATGTCCCTCCTTTTCCTCTTTACAAATAAAGTGTCTTCCTTTCATTAAGAAAGAAAGAAAGAAAGAAAGAAAGAAGGAAAGAAGGAAAGAAGGAAAGAAGGAAAGAAGGAAAGAAAGAAAGAAAGAAAGAAAGAAAGAAAGAAAGAAAGAAAGAAAGAAAGAAAAGAAAGAAAACAGAGGAGTTATAAAAGTAATAACTATCCAGGATAATATCTTTGACTACAATAAAATTAAAATTCTTCCTGAAGAAAACTCTTAAAAAGAGAGCAAAAGCCTCCTACCTATTAGGATGTGACACTGGCATAATGTAAACCCCAACCCAACTTGTGGCCAGATTATATGAAAGATGTCCATAAATCAATATGAAAATAATCAGACAACTCAATAAACAAAGAACA